CAAAAGCCAATCAGGTGATAAAAAAACAGAAAAAGTGCTAAAAGCTTCCATAGTGCAAAGGTGAAAAGGCTTAAGGGTTATGTTCTCATACCACAGCGCACTCTTGTTATGATGTCATATGAGCTGTCCGTCCCCAAGGACAGTAAGACAAGAATAGTGAGCCCATGTGCCCCAGCAGTTATCATCTGGTGACCTTCCAACCTCACACAAAGCATGAGGCAGCATCTTGGCAGTTCTTTAGGCTTACTTGTCCAGTGCCTAGAGTTATAACAGGGAAACTGCAATCTAGCTCACATTCCCCTTCTGACTGATTTAATTTGTATCTTTTATCCSTCCACTATGTCATCCCAGAATATTGGTAAAAACACGATTCAGATTACTAGGGCAGAGAGAGAAGATTTGACCAAATGATGTCCTAATTAATGCATTCACAGAGCAAATKATTTCCTTATGAAAATTAATTTATTATTAAACATATCCACAAACTTAAATATAAATACGTTTCCCTCCAAGCTCATCCTGTTAAACATAAACACAAAAATTTCAAAGAAATCTAYGGTTAGTAGAAAGCAAATGTATTAAACCACAGCATATGGAGTAGGCAGCTACTGGGATGTACAAATCAACTACTTTAATCAAATAACTTGTAATTACTACTCTTTTCAGCAGTTATTTAAAACAAGCCTATAGAATTTTAATACATCATATTTATATAATTTATACATCATATATATATTTAATATATCATTTTTAGTACATCATATGTTGGGAACAACAGAAATAACTATGTAGACATGGAAAGATTCATCACTACTSTCAAGACTGTATATTTATTATTACTAAATTATTATTTTTCTATTAATATCTGACTCCTTCACAGGGAATATGAACATTTTAGCCATTCTTGATTAAAATGCTAAGTAAWATCTCAGAAAACAAGTTATTTTTATAGTACAATTAACAACTTTGCATACTTTTGCATCTTGTCAGTTGTTACAATCTGCACTTTTAGTCCCAAATAAGTTCTCCTTAATTAACTGGAGGCTTGGTAAATATACACCCCGACTATCTGGCAAAGAATTTGWTTAAACTACAGGCAGCCAAGATATGTTCCCTAGCTCTCCTCCCTCTACTCTGCTTCCCAAACAAATCYAACCTTCAGTTTTACAAGCAAAGGATCAACAAGCTCCCTCTGTGGCTTTTGTCCCTGCTCCAGTAGCTCCAACAAGGGAACATTATCCAGTGAGGCTGCTCATCCTCACCCCACATGAGAGGCTCAGAATGCATGGGATGTGCTTCGGTCAGGCCATACAGCAGGGGGGGAAGAACTGTTTGTGACTAGAAGTTGTCCTCTCAGGAATTAACACACTCCAGCTCTAGATTCCTGTRTTCTAAGGAATTGTGCTTAAGGGAATTTCAGAGAAAATTAGATCTTCATTAGAAAGTGCTGAGGCAGTACCCAGAAAGGCCTTTTATACTGTCAGCCAAAATGAAGGAGGGAGTAAGGGAAGTACACAGGGAAGAAGGRAAGAAAAGAAGCAGGAAGGAGTGAAGGAAGTATGGCCTTAAAATAACAACAGTTTATTTTAACATTSTTTTTTTACTCAGTAAGTTAAAAAAACTGACACTTGTTTGTACTTAAATCAAATACAAGGTTTTGTTTGCAGCAGATTTATTCCATTTGATTCTGTGTGAGTTCAAGGAAAATTCAAAGCAAATTCACCTATTGTCCTTATGATGGTTTTCTTGAAAATTATGCCTGAGAGTTTTCTGATTGCTCTAATGCCCARCATCTGGCTTCACTCTTGGAGACCATCCATTTCTGGCATCGTCATTTATACTTAAATAGTTTTATTGGTGTTTGTGTAAAGAGGGCAATAAGCAAAGCCCCATTTTCTTAAAACAGATCCTGTTAGTTTTTGTAAATACACCTACAAATGTATCTGAGATGAATGTGCTGTTCCACATTTAAACTGCTTTTCGGCAGCAAGTGCATGCAAAGAMACCCATAAGAATGCAAGACTTACAGTGTGAAGAACTAATGCTTCCAAAAATAAGGATATTGTTGAGAGATGTTGACTACTAAATACTGTAAATTTACACCTTCGTCTACTAGATTATGTATAAAATAAGGTTATATCAGTCTCACATAAKACATTAACTTACTTCAACAACTTTACTGTTACAGAACCACTGACTTGCCTTGCAGTCAAACAAAATAATGTCACTGTAGCTAACTGGACCATAACCCATCTGTGAAAAAAAAATACAGGCTACATCCTCATGTTAAAAAATGCCTTGGAAGTAATCAAAGGAGAATGTACAGAAAACTGTCCGAATAGGAAACCTCGATAAAATGCTATGGCAAGAAGGTTTAGCATAACCTTTTGAGGGTCTGTCAGGGGAAGACAAACTAGAAGGTAGGAAGTTGTCTCACCTCTGTACGTCTTTCTGTGGGAAAGGGGCCACAATTTGCTCTTGCTGAGCAACCCASATTACGASATGGAGGAGGATGASAAAGAGGAGGATGTGACTACAGTGGTGTAGCATGTACCTTGTGCTGACCATGAAACTGGGATAAGGGAAAGAAAACCGTGATATAGAGAAACAAAGGGCAAAGAACGTGAATGAGGAACAAAAGACAATTGAGACGGATGCAAAATGCTGAGTGAAGAAACTGCAAGGCTAATGGCACAGTCGCTTCTGCAACTATTATAATGCACCAATCATATACTGACAAGAACAGACTGCTAATCAGACAATAAACAACTGCCATTTATGTGGAAGGCTTAGTTTATGTGCTGTTACTAAATAGATAAAAGGGGCTCAACTCAGAAATAAAGTGATCATTGCTCACCATATTGGTGTCTGCGTGGTCCTTACCCCGTTCCCCTGCAACACTGTAATACTAAGATTTGCTTGCTAATTTGGAGTCTCTGTTTACRACATCAAAATACTTCAGTGCTCAAAGGTGTGTCACAGAAAGTGATCTAGATGCTGAAAGGTTAGCATTGTAGTACGTGTTTTAGGGGGTTTGGCTATATCTAGCTTGCTGAAATTTMACAGATGATGTGCATACTGGTATCTGCAAATGGAAAAGACATCCAAGAACAGGTGCCTGTCAAGACTTTGAAAAGATGTGGTAAGCTCCAGTGACAGGAATGTAATGTTAGACAAATTTAAAAGAGGTAAAACATTTTAGTTGCAAAATAAGTCACACTGCTGACTGATCTCATTGCAAATCATCAAATAATGTATAAGCTAAAGCCTTGAAATTCGTGAATGTAGCAGTTTATTCTTCTCTTTCCTTTGTGGGATATGGTAAGTATAGTTTCCTGGATTGCTCTCAATATATCCAATAAGATATGCTGGAATGGTTTAACCTTGCTGAATGGTTGGAATTTTCCAAAGATGTATCTGAGCACTGCCAGCATGACAGCTCATAGTACATGTTCTAGCCTTACACTTCACAAAAGCATTACCCAATATATAGAAAGAACAAAAAATTCAAATCTAAAATTACTTAGAGCCATTGCTAAGTTACTAATTTAATTAGGGAGCTTAAGACAGGCTATGTTTTCTCTAACCTTGTACAACTGTGGCCACAGGCTTCCTTTTCCAATCAACAGAGAGAATTGAGGGAGCAGTCCATCTGGGACACTTGAAACCCATCTGAAGGTGAACAATATCATACAAGTGTTTACAATGCAGGTTTTAGGTGAGATGAATCCCAGCCACACACCCAAYATCTCCCATGATGAAAATAGGGAAGTATAAGGCATACTTCCAACATATTACTTCGTTAGTAGGCAGGTAACATTTCTCATAATGTGAGAGCTCTCCAATTCAAGGCCTTTTGGAACAGAGAAGCCCTGGCATCAGACAAACTCTGACACTATGAGAAYTAACAAAATGAACATACAGATTCCAAAACAAAAACCATGCATAAAAACTATTATTTTGGGATGTAACTGCCAAAATGTTCTAATCCAAAAGGTATTTATTTAGGCACAGGCAGCACTGACTCAGAAGGAAGCTGTCACCTTGGGAAGAACAGGACAGGCACAGAGGTCTCTGATGTGCAAGGCAGATTTCATCAACCCACTCTTGGCAATATCCCAGYGTTACCTGCTCATCCTTGAGCAGCAGGAGGGCTGGGGTACTAAAAGCAGCCACCCCAGCCAGGGATGTGCTCTGCAGCACGGAAAGGGGATTTAAGGCAGCAGACATCTTTTCGCAGTTTAACTTAAAAAAAAAAAAACAAACCAGAACATA